TGTGTGTGTGTGTGTGTGTGTGTGTGTGTGTGTGTGTGTGTGTGTGTGTGTGTGTGTGTGTGTGTGCATTCCCGTACTGGTCTAAATCAACAGCCCCTGAAGTTCCCTTAAAGGTGCAGTGTGTAGGATGTGGCGGCACCTAGTGAAGAGGTTACATATTGCAACCAACTAAAACTTCTCCCGTGCGCTAAAAACGTGTCGGAGAACTACAGTGGCCGACCCTAAGACGTGAAAACACGAAAACGCAAACAGCCCAATCTACAGCCAGTGTTTGGTTTGTCTACGTGAAGCCCGTCAGTGTGATCGGGACTCTGGAAGCCGGAGTCCATGAAGATGATCTGAGCCGAATTTGGAAACCTGACACACAAACACGACCCATCGACAAGTTTCTGTTTCTACATGATGTCTTTGTAAAAAAGATCGAGGATGCAGAGGAACACCAGTTTGGATGATTTTATTTCTGGAACATCATCTGCTGCAGTTCATTCTGGGCATTTGATGATTTCCTATTTCACAGTTATTTAACAGCGCTGTTTCTTGTGAGTGTTTATGCAGATTTATTCATCCGAGTAAGCCGACCTCCGATGCTCTGGGAGTTGATGACCTGAGTCGCCTCAGTGTGACAGACATGACGAGCATTAGCGCACACACAAACACATGACATGACATGTGTGGTTCATACTGTCATGTATTGATGTTACGTATCAACTGAGCTGAAACTGCAAAAAAGAGTGAGATAATATTGTCATATTTATCCCAGTTAACCTCGACTTTATGTGGAAATAAGTGATTCTTTATGAACCTCATGTTTAGGCTGATCCTGTTTAGCAGGATGAAAGTAAAATCTGACCATGCAGAGTCTGAGATGTCCTAAAATGCACCGTTCAGAAGATACAACCTTTTCACTGAGATAATATTATGATTTTCCTTCACACAGAACAAACTTCTGCTACGTCAGTGGATCTCAACAATCTCATATTTTTATACTTCTTGCGTCGTCTTTAATTAAAATAAAAAAGCATTAATGTAAGATAGTCTGATGCCTCATAGTTACACTACAGGGAGCCACTAATGTCTTTTCAGTGATTAGAGTCAATAGACTCTGCTGGACAAATATGACATAATGATCAATCCCCGCGGGGGCCATATGTCCTGTTTGAATATGTATGCATCATTTATACGTGAGGATAGAGAAAAGGCCCGGAGAAGTATTTTGGGATAATTTGTGCTTTAATATTCAATGAGGAACTGACACCAGTTATTAGTCTCTGTATTACTTTTGATGTGTTTTATCAGTAAATCCTCTATTTCTGAATGCCAGAAGTCTTGCCTCCCCTAAAACAGTTTCAGTGTGAAGAGATTTCCAATTTTCTTCTCAAATGATCCCCGTTGAATCTTATAAAGCAACAGTTGATGAATTTAAAATAAATAAAATGTGGGTTTTTATGTTTGACGTGTCTGTCTGTGCGTTTCTTGAGGCCATCTGGAGTCAGCACCTCATCACCGAACACCATAGTCTGTGGACACAGGTGTCTAATGAGAATATGAATAATAAATGGACATTTCCTGATTAACCAAGCAGAAGCTGGAGCGACTGTAAGACAGAAAAAAAAGACAGAAATGGACATTTGGGGGACACAGTATTCATAGGCTGTATATGTAATGTTCCTGTCCATTTTTACAGTCATTTCCGCATCACCTGATATTATCTGGAATTGGTAAACAAGTCATTTTGAAGAGATATACTTTTGATAAATCACAACTTTGTTTATGCCTTATTTAAAACACATAGACATCTTAAACACTTTATTAATGAGACTAAAATAAATGCATTTAGACATCAAAGAAATTCCTCAAATTGGCGACCCTAATGAGATCTCCTGCGTCCCTCATGTGGGTCTAGACCCAGTGTTTGGGCACAACTGTGTTATTCCGTTTTATACAATATAAACAATATATTTTCAGGTCACTTTAATTCAGTGTCAGTGCAACAAATGCCTGTAGAAAAAGGAAAGATGTGTTGTTTGACCTTTTTTTGCAGCTCGTCTGAGAAACACAGGATGTAAATATAATCGGTTTACATACAAGGTATGCCACGACCAGGAATTGCCTCAAACGCTCTACAGGAACGCATGAAGGAATGCAAATATCAGTACTCGACTTAAGAATCATTTCATATGTTTTGTTTGTGTTATTGTCTTAAAAGGCCATTCAGAACATTTGAAATGCTACGTCAGTGCTTGTGTGACATTTGTTTTCGCACTGTTCTATGCACCGTGTGGTCTGTTCGTGCCCAGCTGCTGTGAAATGAGGATTTCCCCCCCGAGGATAAATAAACTGTCTATCTGTCTGGATTATCCCGAGTTAATAAAGTGCAACAGAAACAACCGGGGAGTTACTGGTGTTCTTAGTCAAGATTTGTATGGTTCACATCATGAACACAGGGAAGGTTTGATGCTGACTGGCAAAGGGGGTGTGCATCATTTTTATTTACACATCTGTGACATAGTGTCCTCAACAGTGGAATGAACCGTTGTCTTCCACACACACACACACACACACATATGGATGGATGGGAGGGGCTAGTCAAGTCTATCAGAGCATCTCAGGATGTTGTGAGTTTAATCAGACTGAAGCAGAATCTAATAAGCTGCTAATGGGCGGGAGTGGGCCATGAATGATAATGTCTGATGTGTGTTTGTGTATGTGTGTGTGTGTGTGTGTGTGTGCGTGTGTGCACGGTCCTGTTGTTACTGTACATTTTGTGTGTACCGCGTGACCAGAAAAACAAACAAATCTGTACAATGTGATGTCATCAAATTAGGGCTGAAACTAATTTAATCTAAAAATCCTTTCTAAAAGATTCCTTTGTTATCTTTTTTTCTATCAATTAATATTCAATTCAGGAGTATCCTCAGGTGACATCTGCAAATGAATAGTTTTGACTGACCACTAATCCAAAAGATTTACAGCGATAATAAATCAGAGTAGAGCAGCAAATCCTCACATTTGAGAAGCTGTTTGACATCACTTGATGAATGACTTCAACGAGTAATTTATTATCGACTGTTTGGAAAAGAGACGCCGGGGTTTCCTCATAAATATGCTGCGTTTCTAAGCATTAAAGTGACAGTCGACACAGTAAAGAAAGATCCAATTTGGAGCAAGAAGTTTTCAAACTGATGAATTTGGACTGCAAAGACTGGTGGTAACTACACTGCTGTTGTGTTTATATTGTCAATGATGCTCTATTAGCTATTAGTCAGATAAGAAATGTTTTTTGAATAAATTTTCTTTTTATGCGTATTACACCAGCCAACACTATTTATTTCAGTACTTTCTCTTCATTTGCTTCACTAACAACAGACAAGAAATATAAAACACTTGAGAACATCAAGATAATGAATTGTCTGTGACAGCTCTATAGCTACTATATTGCCTTTAACGGCATGAGTTTAGTGCTCTTATGATTATTTCTAGTACGGTTGTTTTCATGTGTTGAAAGTGCCGACGGAATAATTAGACTTTTTAAATGTGTACCAATAAATTATTCTTTTAAAAAATCAGTTTGTTAATTCCCTTATTCTGTCTTTAAATGCTGAATTAATAATTTGATATTTGACATTTTTAATGCATTCATTTAAATGCAAAGTTCTATAATCTATTAATTGATTATAATTAAGCCGTAATTATTCCATCAGCACAATCCAGACAAGTGAAAAGGTAGTTATTAATAATGCTGGCGTGTTGTGGCGTGAGCACCGACTGCCAACAGAGGGTCGTCTGTAGAAATAGAACAGCCCGGATGAACTCTTGGATTTGGGCCATTTTGCACATGTCACACCTGCGTTGGCATCGTTCCACTACTGATCTGAGTCACGGATCATCAGGTGAGAGAGGACAAAATG